TCTCATATCTTTCCTCTTCCTCCTTATACCAATCTCTTTCACTCACTCACTCAATCATTCTCTCCCATTCCTCCCCTCCATCTCCTCTCCCTCCACCCTCTCACTCTTCCTCCCTCACATCCAGTCCCTCTCAAAATCCACACAAACCCACACAACCCAACCCAACCCAAAATAAACAAACCCTAAAACAAAGGCCCAAATAAACCCCGTGAAACCAATCAAACATCACAATCACATGATCTCCCAGAGAAATCAAGTCTTCGTGGCTCAGTTGGTTAGAGCGTTGGTCTCATATTTCTATCTTTCTTTCTTCTTGAATGATTGATTATATATATGAGGTGGTTGTTAACAATCACTTGAGCCATCCAAAGGTCGAGAGTTCGAGTCTCTCCGAGGACAGATTGGTTGGTGATTTTCTTTTTGTGGTGATGGGATGGCGGGGGGGGACTTTTTTGGTTTGAAGGGATGGGGAAGTGGTGGGAGTGGTGGGAGAGGGAGAAGGTTGATGGAGAGGTGGATAGATGGGAATGGAGTCGCTTTTTGGTTGATTATGATGATGGATGTATAATGGAGGAAGGTATGGGAAGGAGGTAGACCGACTAGGTAGTATCAATAGTATCAGAAGAGGATAATTAGAGATAATATAAGTGTATTCTTATTGAATGGAAATAAGTAATAAAACGAATGTATAACAACAGCATTATGATCATCACACGATAATCACACAAGATGAAGCAATAATCGATTCATAATAGAAATATAGATCTGGGATAGATACGAGGACACTGAAGTTTCATAAAAGTAAGAGATATCTCTCATCTCATATCAGATAGAAAATAAAACTTTTAATATCTGTAAACTACAGAGTATAAGTTGGTAGGTTATCAATCATGGTGGTAATCTTGTTTGATATGTAATGGTGACCAATCTTTCCTGTTGAGTAATTCTATGATTCTTATGAGAAATTTCTAGGAGAAGAGGTTCTTTATTGTTCTGATTGATTGGATAATAATAAGCCGCGCAATATGTGATGAAATCAATAGCTTCAGATTTCTATAACCATCAACTTTTTTCCTCAGTCTTATGTTTTCCGAGCGCGAGAAATCGAAAGACCAAAAAAGCACCGGATAAAAAGAAGTAACAAGAAACTTTCTCAACCTATTAACCATCTATAATTCTCACCTCAAAAAATAGCCAAGGTCAACAGCGTCTACGGAGGTATATGGATTTCCATATACGTCTGTATGAAGAAGCATGGAAGCTTCACACAATACCTAGATACCCAGTAAACATATCGAACAACCCTTCTAATATTCTTCAAAGCTTCATTCAATCTTCTCTTCTCTTCTCTTCTCCCCAATTTCGGTAATTATAACCATATCTCAAAAATTAAAATGGATAAATATAATAATATTCAAAGAGATGAGATTATGAGAAGATCTTTGCAGATTAAGGAGGAGGCTTAGACTGTGGAGTCTTTTTATTCTTATTTTTTGAAGCTTGGAAGCTTGGAGGATAAATCATAAAGGATTCATGAAATCGATTTTTCGGTTTTTGTTCTAGTGAGGTAAGTTTGGTGGAGAAGGATTAATCGGTACAGGGATGATGATGTTGATTATGGTGATGATGGTGATGAGATGAGGGTTGGTGTGGAGTTGGAGTTGGAGTTGGGGTTGGAGTTGGAGTTGGAGTTGGAGTTATTTATGGAGTATTGGTTGGTAAATTGTAATTAGCTGGTTCTTTGATATTTTACGTTTTGTGTGTGATGTTTGGTGAAGAAGCTGGATTTACGCAGTATGTGAAGAGAAATTGTCGAGAGCGAGGTACGAAGTGTTGATGAAATGAAAGATTGGATGAATGAACGAATGAATAAATGCATGAATGAAAGAGTGGAGTTGACAGGACGGGAAAGAATTTGCCACTCTTCTCATCTGCGATATGTTTAATTGGATTATCTACCTATCTAT